TCATCATACGACACCTCATGTCTTCCACCATCATAAGACATGTAGATTTGTTTCTGTAACATTAAGAGTATTGATTAATTAACAATTTATATGTTACAAATAATATAGAGTTTCGTCATATTATGAGTTGATCTTTATGTCTACAAATAAAAAACTTATCTTTAATTATCTTAGTCTTGAGGTTTCTGTGTTTGAGGTTTCTGTGTTTGAGGTTAGAGTCACATACCTACAGATCAAACATAAATATTATTAAAACAATAAGCTAAACTATTTTAAATTATAAAATATTCACTACCGATAATGGAAAATATGGATCTGAGGTGGTCGAGCTTGGTTTATATTCAGATATTATCTTGATATATCCAATCCGTCATCTTTGATCATCGATCCATCCAGATCTATCATCAGGTGTCACATGCAAGTGATTGCTGAAAAGTATAAAACATTAGCTTTTAATTAAAGCCTTATATGGATTTTAAGGAAATACAATCTATTGATAAAAAAAAGGGATTTGGGTTATACCTTTAAAGATCGGTGACGAGATGAAACATGTTTCATCGGTTTGCTTACTCTATCTGGAGAGAAAAGAAGATCTTTGTTTTCTAAAAGAAAGTCAAGCAGACAGCTTTTTTTTTTGTCGGTGAAATTAAATATGTGTCTTAAACCTATTATTGGGCCTCGGTTCTGAAAGAAAAGAAGATCTTTGTTTTCTTGACTGATCATCGTAAACCTATTATTGGGCCTCGGTTCACGAAACAAAGTTTATATGTAAGCTGAACAATATCCAATATTAAAATCAACTTTAGTATAAATGATATGTAGTGCTTTTATTCCAATCAACCAAAAATAAAAGTAATTAACCAAAAACAAACATAAATTTATAAACAAATGAATTGTTTCTTATTTCTTTTTATTATTTAAACAAAAAATCACAGTCGAACCAAATATTAAATTTAGTAATCCTAAACATTATATTTAACAAACAAACAATTGCACGTTCATACAATAAAACAAATCCTGTTATGGATTAAAACTTTCAAATAAAATTAAAACAAAGTGTTAACCCGCCCTTCAAAGGGCGGGTCAGAATCTAGTCTACTCTATTAAAATAGAGTCATTCTTTTTATCTACTGATACAAGTTATCATTTAATTTTGAGCTTTTTCTAGAGTGTTACAAATAATATAAGTCATATAGTTAATTGAACCGCATTACTTATACTAAACCGATAGTTATTTATGGGATATAGGAAGCTACCTTTCGGGATGGGCTTTTGCTTCTTTTGTTTTTATAACAAATTATATGGTTTGATTTTTGGGTTTAGTATTAAGTAAAAACTCCAAAAAACATTGAATAAACTTTCCACCTTAATGGATAAAAAAAAATCAGTTATTATTTTCAAGCCCAAAAAGTATTTAATATGTTTAAACAAAACAAAATTGTCTATTATTAATCATTTATTTAAATCATGTATACTTTAAAATATGTTAATGTATTTTTTTATTTTAAATAACAATCACTTTGTTTTGATAAGTTTCAATGGTAACTTTTAAATAATTTATTGTTTTATTTCTCTTAAATAATTTACTGACTAAAAAAAAATGTAAAGTAAAACCAAAAACCAAATCTAAAAACTAAAATCTAAAACCAAAAACTGAAAAAACAGGTTATATTTTCTTGCTTTTATTTATTTACAAAATAAACTATTACAAATTTCTTTAAATTTTTTTTGTCATATATTCAGTTTTAAATTAGATGTTTGATTATTTGAGATTTGTTTGTTAGTAATATCAGTTCAAACTAACTCAGCGGTTTAAAAATTAAAAACCTAAACCAAAAGCTCAAAATCAAAAATAGAAACTTAAAAACTAAAAACCAAAAACCAAAATCTAAAAATAAAAACTGAAACTAAAAACTAATGAATAACAATCATCACCACAAATTTTGGTGAACTGATTTTATCCCAAAACATTCTTTAAGTTAAGACAAAACCCAATTACATAAATTTTTAGTCATAAAAAAATTTCGCGCTTGAAAATCGCCGGTCAAAATCTAGTCAAATTTTAAAGCAAAGAAAAAGAGTCGGACCAAAAAAATTATCCAACTAAACCCGAAAAATCACTATTCCTGTTTTTAAACTTTTCATGAATGATACACAGTCGTACCAAAAAAAAATTATCAAACTAAACCGGAAAATCACTATATCCTGGTCCAGATAAATTGGACTACTTAGTTATTACCTTGCACTGATGCAAAAACCACTTTTTGAATTGTCTTTTACGTTACACAAAACGTAGCGATCCAGTCCAAACTTCGCAATGAACTTCTATACACTGTACTGAATCTTCTACATAATTCTAAAACGGTGAAAACGAGTGTAAGAGTTTGGTAAACCAAATGCTACTTCTTCCCCAAGTTATAGATCTTCCCATCGTATCTCACACGAGCCAAATGAATCCATTGCCACCAGCCGTATAATCTTCGTTTCCTTGGCTGCCAGATATCTTCCTTTGCGGCTTCCTCAAAAGCTTATCCGCCTACACTAGTATTATACTAGAAGTATATAAGTGGATTCAGTTTATAGCACGAGACATTAATTGCTCCAGAAAATTCTAATAAGAAGTCAGTCCAGTGTATTGTTTAACTAGACAGCGAAGACAACCGGAACATTTTCATCTCTGCTTATAGCATTCTGATTAGCATTGAAGGTATCATCTCCATTTCTCTAAGGTAAAAGCTTCCACACATTTTTGGTTTATGCAGACAACAGAAACAAACAAGCATTCATCTTGCACATCAATCCAACAACACAAAAGAAAACAACACTTAGGAGGTCCAGAATGAGAAAAAATTACCATGTATGGTATCAGGCCCGGCTCATCATATTATGGGCCTTTAGACGGCACTCTTTCTTGAATAATACTCCAAATTTACAATGATAATTCAATAATTGTATAGATCTTCAAATTATTTATTGCTTTTGCACGGATTAGCATAGGAAAACATTGGAAAGAAGAATCTCGATCGGAACGTTTGGGGACTGAATTTTTCACATTTTGTGACAGCTTGAGATAAGATTGCGCACTTTACATGATATCTGAATTCGTACCGGAATCCGATCTGAAAAACCTAAATCCATTTAGTACAATATCCAAATAGATATTGAATTAAGAAAAATTAGATATTTGAATCCAAACGGATATCCAAAAAAATCCAAACATATGTATAATTAATCATATATTTGTACTTTAGTTCTCTCTTTTTTTCATAATATTTATATTGATGTTATACAAGATTTAAATCAAATAATATATACATAATTTCGGACATATTGATTTACTATCACGTAAAATGTATGTCAAGTTCTTATTTTGTGCATTAATAAAAATTGCATCTAAGATTTTACAAAAAAAAAAAAATCTAACTAGTGTCTTTCTGTTCTTAATTTTTTTTCTCCACACTTATTAATGTCCTATTAAAAATTAAAGATCAGTTAAATTAAAGAAAAAAATAAATACAAGAAATTTAATCAATGAATAATTTGATTTTACAAATAAATAACCGAATCCAAACTAAAAATATTCAAACCTGATCCGAAATGTAAAAATACTCAAATGGCTACTAAACTTTTATAACGAACCAAAAATCTAAAATACCAGATTCGAAGCTGAATAGGTATCCGAATGACTATACCTAGTTTGAAGAGTTTTTTCACTCTTATTTTTTTTTTGTAACATTTTCTCTCTTATTCAAAACACAAGAGTGCTATCTCGATCAGTGGCGGATCTAGAATACATTTTTATCCGAGGCAAAGATGAAAACTATTAGCAAAAAATAATATGTAAGCAGAGGCATAACTAAACTTTTAAAGAAATTACACTGAATTTGAAAAAATTTCCATGCCCCTCTCTTACTTCATGTGATTTCGCCACTGACCTCGATGGTCTTTATTTATTTATTGTAGGTATCTAGAAGTTTAATTGAGTTAGTATAATAATCAAGATTCGAAACAATGAATACTATCAAAAGATAATCTCAACTGTTTTCAGCGAAACTATATAGGTGGCCAACACAATTAAAGGAAAGAAAATAAGAAGTGAGGTGATGGAGGTTGAAAGACATCAGAAGCTACGTTTATATAAAAGCAAGTTGGCACAGTTGAGGCAAAAAAGTTTGATTTTAGAGGCAAATTCAAAACTAACTGCGTTTCTTCTTGCTTCATCTTATGGGTCTTTTTTGTTCCTTTGTAACCACACCATAACTTTGTTACATTCTTAGTCTACAATGGGAAAATATTATTTTTCTACAAGTTCAAGCCAAGTGGTTGTAAAGTTGTGAATCCAAACTTCTAATATTATATTTCTTCCAACTATGTGGACTGAAGCGGGTCGGCTTATCGGGTCTAAGTCGGCGATGTTAGTGGAATTCAAGAGAGTAAGCGATGAAGAAGATAAAAGAGAAGCGGGTCGTTCACGTCGTCGGCTACCTTGACGGAGACGTTAATAATTCTCGCCACAACTCTTCTTTCTGTTATGTACACGCGTTTAGGCGCGTAAATCCACGCGTGTATTGAGGACCACCAAACACTTGTTCAGGCTGTTTGATGTAATAACAGAAGTCTACTTTTTCTTTGGCTTGCACAAGAATTTCCCGGCAACGAAACCAACTTCTATCTTGTCCTTTAATTGCTTAACCAGATTTATATATACATATACACTTACATATATACACACAAACCACTTGACAAAGAGAGTTTAGTTTTAAAAGTCATTCTCATGATATTAAACAAGTCACTCCCCATGATATTTAATGACATGTAAGATTTACATCTAATCAACAGCATTTGTAACTTTACATTACTTTTTTTTTTGAACGACACTTTACATTACATCAAACATGTCATACATCTCACAAATCATATTTTACATAAAATAATGAATTAGCGAGATTACAATGAAACAAATTTCGTTAGTGCCAGTAAATCAAACAAGGAGACAAGATTTAGAACACATTCAAATGCCTGCAGTCACTTTCTTCTATATCCAAAGAATCCAACAACAATGGTGTCCTATTGCTTCCGCTATCATCATCATATTCACCATCGCCATCATCACATGAACTACTCATGAGTTCTTTTGCCCTAAGAACCTCAGCTTCCCAATCAGTCTTAGCCAACACGACCAACATCGAAACAAGGCAGGAGCCTTGAGCTGCAAAGAGACCAAGCCACAGTCCCTTGAAGTCAAACCCACTAAAGAAACTTAACCATATAGCCACAGGCATTCCCACAAAGTAGAAACAACACAAGTTAATGTTTGCTCCTAATTTAGGTCTAGCACTTCCTCTCAAAACTCCACACATTGTTGTCTGAGGACAGTTCCCTAGCTCGCATAGCCCGATGATCGGTAAAACCATGGAAGTCAACTTCAAAATCTCTTTCTCATCAGTGAACAATCTTGCCCAGCAATTCCTCACCATAAAAGCGAAAAACATGGCGAAAAACCCTAAACCTAGGCTTAAATAGAGTCCAGTCCTTGCAGCTATCCTTGCTTTATCAGGCTGATTCGCGCCTAGCTCGTTCCCCACGCGTGTAGAGACACTGAAACTAAGAGATGATGGGAAAATGTAGATCAAAGCTGTGGTTTGGATCAAGATTCCCATAGACGCGACGGTTGCTTGCGGCTGAAGTAACAGTCCACAAAGAAGAATCATGATCTCGTACCACCACCATTCTAGACAAACAGAAACGCAGCTAGGGATTGCTAATGTCAGTAAAGACCTCCACCCTTTAAAGCAATCCATTGAGAATCCTCCCCAAGTCTTCTCATAAACACCGGAAAACACGATGTAGAGGATCAGAAGCCCTAGTAGGTTAACATTACTCCATATTGCTCCCAATGCTACTCCTTTAAGGCCAAGACCGAAGTAAGAAACAAGAAGGTAGTTGATGGGAATGTGGAGGAGTACAGCGAAGAAAGCAGAGTATGTAAGAGGGAGAGTGATGGATTGAGATCGGAGGTAGATACGGAGAGGATGCAAGAAAGATTGGAGGATGAGATCAGGGAGAGAGAAGAGGATAAAGATCTCTGCCTGGTCCGAGATTTCTTGGTCTTGTCCGAAGAACAAAAGGATCTTCTTGATGTTGAGCCAGAGGATGGAGATGGGAAGAGAAGAGAGGAGGAGTAACAGTATGGTTCTTTGCAAAGCAAAGCCTAAGAGTTTGAATCTTTTGGCGCCAAAGGCTTGAACGCAGATGGGTTCCATGCCGGTGGAGAGACCGGACAGGAGAGAATAGCCGGTGATGTTGGCGAAGCCGATGGCGAGTGAGCCGCCGGAGAGAGCAGGGAGATCGTTGAGACGGCCGAGGAAAAGCATTGAGATCATTGAGCGAGAGTAGAGGAGTAAACCGGTTAAGATTATTGGGAGAGATATTTTGGCGATTGATTTGGCTTCTTGGATGGAGGAGGAGAGGCGGGTCGGGTTCGGATTTGGATCTTGTTGGTTATCTATGTGGTGGTACTTGAGGATCAAAGGAGCAGTCATGGTTACAGGTTTGAGAGAGATGGGAGGGAGAGATCAAGAGGGTGAAGAAGGTGTTGTTAATATGTGAAAATGTGTGCTATAAGTTTCAAAGTAAGTCACTACTTAAGGTTAGACAAGGTGAAAAAGGAAAGAAGAGATTTTTTTTTAACAGAAAGAAAAAGGAAACAAGAGATTTTATTTGACTAAATTAAGTTTACTTTATTTTTTCCCTTATTTATAACAACAATTTTGGCGGTTTTTTTGACCAGTCATTATGTCATTGTTATGACTTATGACTTCTGTCTTCCTACTAGCGATAGTATTTTATATCATTTTCCTTTGTGGAAATACAAAATTCAATTAATTTTCAAGAAATAGGTATGCATCTCAAGTGTTACAAAAAAAAAAGTATGCATCTCAATTTTTATAGGGAAAAATAAGAAAATAATTAAGGGAAAAGGAAAAAAGTCTTTGGTCTTTGTATATAATATTTTTTTAACTTTTCAATATTGATCTTTTGCTTAATTTTAGTTCTTCAGAAATGGGCTACTACCTTTTTTTTTGTGCAACAGAAATGGTCTACTACCAAATGATAAGCTACAAGTCTATACATTGGCTGGAAGTTCCTTTTAGCTGAGTTTTGGTCCACAAAAAAATACTGGCTTGAATTATATGCGCTAACTTTATAAATGGCTTTCTAGATTTACAATACTTGCAATTTCATTGCTAGATACAACTAAGCATAAATTGAATTCATAAAGTAAAAAAAAAAAGATTCATTAAGCTAAGACTTAAGACGGTTTAGGGAATTCTTTTCTTAATTATAAAAATATAGAGTAACAAATTGACTCATGTCTTGTCTTCACTTTAATAGTTCAACAGCAAAGTGTCAAAGCTTATAATTTAAATCTGGATATAATAGGCTCACTATTTCATATAAAATAGAGCAAAATAATTAGTAAGTTCTTAAGACTTTAATAAAGATGACCTGTAAATTTGCGATATTATAATAACACTTATTTTCTAGTTGCTCCAGACTTCCAGTTTCGACCAAAATATAAGAAAATTATCATTATTTTTCTGGTATATTTGATTGATTGTATTTTTTTTAAAATGATAGCTAACTTAGGGTATTTTAATCAATTTCTTATGGAAAATTCCTATTTATATGTTTTTAGATTCCAATATAATGTACTGGACCACTCTATTCATATGTCGAGGGAAAAAAATATAGTTTGGCAAAAAGGAAGGCATGCTTTCACAAATAGTTTTAATTAAATATTTTATGAGTTATATATATATATATATGGAATAGAATTTATTATTTTTGCATATATACTATTGTAATGTCACATGCTTCACCTCTATAGAATGTGGACCATTAATATAGCTTATGTTGAGAGTATTGATTGGGAACAAAACAATGTTATCTTATCACGAGTTATGTCGATCGTTTATTATATATGACATTAAATCATACTATTATAAAATAATTTGCAATTGCAAATAGAAACTGATATGCGGAAAAAGAGAAATTATATGATAAGATATAGAATTTGCATAGTTTTAAGCACATTAGCCTAAATAAATTATTTTTTAATTTTTAATCTTTCAAATTTATATACTATTTGTATATTTTATATAATGTATATATTTTAGATAAATTTATATTTTACAATCAATTAACGAGTATTTTGATCATGCTCTTCTGTATATCAAAATTATCTAGTGTAATATAATCAACATAACTGCATATTCAATGGACTTTTTTATCCGTATACATTCTAGAAGTATGATTAAGATAATAAAAAAAATTAAAACAACAATATCTTGCGTTTTTTAGCAAAAAAAAAAAAACAATATCTTGCGTAACAAAAGATGCAACATTGTCAAAAATGTACAAATATTTATAATATCTTCGGCATGGGAGGAATCAAGACCATAAAGATCCTAAGTAATAGGAGGAATCCTAATGGTATAACTGTCTAGTTTATGCATTCTCATGCATATAGCTTAACTAAAGAAACGTTCTTATCCTGTCGTTTGTCAACCTCGGTTTATGATATAAACCATTATCCGATAAACATATAGAGTAAATACACCTTTCTCAAAAAAAAAAAGAATAAATAGAGTACTCAATATTATTCGATTATTATGGTTTAATAAACTAAAGGGTGGCCCTGTATTATTGTTAAAATTTGTGGTGGGAGCTAGGACATCAATTACGTTTATCTTATAAAATTGTTTAAAATTCAAATTTATTTTATGATCCTCTAAGTTTATAGTACATCCCTTTTAAAATCTTAAAATGCAAATTTTATTTTATTATCTTCTAAATTTTGAATATGTCGTCAATTTGTTTCAGTCAGTTATATATTGACTGGTATTGATAAACTTACAATTATAGATTTTAACGTATGACACATAGATATCTAAGTTTAAAACAATGAAAACAGTTGTGTATATTGTTCAAGAAATGAAATTTTTTAGGGCATTGCACTATTGGTACCCATATCTTGTTGTCGATATTCTATCTGAAACAAGATAGATTCTAGGTCTTTAGAACTTAACTAACTAACTTTGATTTAAAATCTACCCCTCAAATTAATCACATATATGTGAACAAGCAGAAATTGGACAATGATTTAGACTCCATTTAAATATTTTAAAAGAAGAATCATCCGTGGATTATATTTCTATTTGGAGATTAGTATGGACTTAGGCCTATTTCATATTTTTTTAAATAGAAAAAAACTAATTAAAAAACAAAAAGAAGCTGAAATATGTTCCATGATCACCAAACGATTATACATTCTTTGATTAAGATGAACTTATTTTTATTGATTCTCATCCATTGTTTCACCATTTTTATTGATATCAGACTTTGTCCAGTGCTGCCTTAGAATTGCCTTGGAAACTGGATATCCCCATTGTTTCACCCTTGTATCTCAGCCTACCTCGCCACAAATATGTAGTTTGCTAATCCCTAGGTGTATATCTGACTGTAAATTTTTCTCTGCATTCACGATCAAAACATATTGAGTTATGTGCATGAAATGGTTACTCTAATGAAGTTTTTATTGATCTTATCTTTAATATCAACAGATTTGTTACTAAAGCGCTCGACAGCTAACATTTGATATTAGGCTCAAATTTGGTGTCAATTAGACATTTACGGCAAACTGAAGGAGCTAACACTTCAAGTCAGTTAGAGACTTAAGAGTGTTTATACCTCAGCAATAGAATCCCAAAATGGGCGACCCGAGAAGAGTAAGAAAGAACAACTGAGCCTTGACGAAACGACCAAGCCCACTGGACACTCTGATGAAATGGTTCTGTTTTAATTTTGAGAAGGAAACAGAGACTAGGAAGGTGTAAGCTCAGAGGTAACGGTTATCACAGCAAAGATCTCGTCACATGTCTTATTGACGATGTCGACTTGAGGTCTTTACTCTCTTTCTAAACCCATAAACAAATAAGTCAAAACTAATCTACGTACTTTCATTATGCTCTTTGTAAGTAAATCTTTGATTGGTCACTTTAAAAAAAGAGATAAAGAAACATATAAAATGATGCCTTGAGTTATACACATAGGGTTTCAAACATATGATTTTGTTTTCGGTTGTTTCATTTTATATTACTAAGCACTCACACTTTCTCTACTAAACACAAAGTATTTACCATAGCTGTATAATTGTTTTAATTTGAATATTCAAAATATCAAAAAAATAACAAGAAAAAAAAACATATTAACTTGACCACTAATTACACAACCACACACATAAGACATAAGCTTATTTTCCTCTATAATTCTCTTATTGTAACACTCTATATCACATTCTTTACTCTCATCACTCATAACCAAATGCTCTTATTAATTTCATTTCTCCAATGTCCTCGTCAATCACTTCCTTTGATCATCACCTTCCGATTAGCCAGAGACGGTCAAAGCCATTGAGTCTCAGAGATTACCTTCTTGATGATCTCAGCTCTTGCTCATCCAACGGCTTCAAATCCTTCCCTCGTCGTCTCCTCCACGCCGAGATCAAACGGTCAGGAATGCTCCACCGCAAACGGCGTCCTAACTGTGTGCTGGCGTTTAGTCACGCCGTTCAGAAAGTTTCCACGGCGTTACTCAGCGCCGTTAAACTCTTGCCGTTCCCTTCCTCCTCCGTTAAACCTCTTCCGCCTCGGAAGAAAGAAATGTTCTCTAGAAACCTCTGGAAGAAATGTTCCCACCGTGAACTTGATAACGTCGACGACGGAGAGGTCGAACGGAAGACGGAGGAACAGAAGATCCACCGTGGAAGATCATTCGGTGAGTTTCTCAAAGAGAGTTTAGATGAACCGTCCAATGTAGCATTTTCCGGTGGTGGCAGCGAGTTGTTCACGAACTCGGAGGTGAGTCAGTCGAGTGGGGAGTCGGAGACGTCGAAGGAAAACGACGCCGTGGGAGATGAGATGGAGGAGACAACAAGGGCAGTGGTAGTTATGATGAGTGGGGATTGTGTAGGGCCTCTTGTCAGTGAAAGATCCTCTGTCAACGACAACCGAAAGGTTAGTTAGTTTAGTTAGTTGACAAACTTTCAAAAAAAATTCTGACATCTTTTATGCTTTGTCCAATTATCATCCGACACATTACACCGTAGATAATCTCTAATCATTAAAATCACCAACTTATTACAACAGCAACTCATTAGGTGAAGTCATTTGGCTTAGCATGTAAAGTACTCTCTCTCTATGTGTTAGTTTTAAAGTTGAGTAGAGTTAGGTTTTTGCGTGCGTGCGATTCACGTGAGGGTTTGGGGGGGAGGGGAAATTTGATTTTGGAAGCTGATTGATAAATAGGACTAGCGATGAAATCAAGGGCTGCAATTTTTTCTTGGTAGCTTAAAAAACGGATTCTACGAAAGATATTACTCACTTACCGAGACAGTTTGGTCCTGAATTTGTATTTGTAATCTATAGATTTCCTCGCAGTCACACTAGTTGACAAAAAGTTCAAAAACCAAATGTTTTGGAATCACCGAATTTTTATAATCATAAATAATATGGGAAGGTGTGGAGAGATGCAAAATGTTGTTGTCATGAAGTGGGTTGACTTATAAGTTTATAACATTGAAGTAACTGAAGTAGTAGTACTATAAATTGTAGGAATGCGTGAACGAAGAAAAAGAACAAGTCAGTCCGATATCTATTTTGGAATGCCCATTCCAAGATAATGCAATAACTCCTCATTCGCTTCAAAAAGGTAAATTCACCGATTCTTTAATATTCGATTATACATTATACCTTACTAATGAGTAATGTTTTTATATAAAACGCAATTATGACATTTATAGAAACCGATGAGAAGAAGCTATTGAGGAAGAGTAGAATCTTTGAAACCTTGGAGTGGCTTGCGCCTGTGGATTTAGAGAAACGCATAGAGCAATATGTGGGAAGACAAGATTATGGTTCTCATTGCATGGTTGATATCGAAGAAGATCAATCCGAAAAACGAGCAAACCGTCTGTTTGCTCTTGTGAAGTCTAGATTGATTGAGGAACCGAGCCCTTTACTGGTATCTCAGAAAGTAGATAATCTTTTGCTAGATTTTTTCAAAGAAGAGGGTGATAATGAGACCAGAGATGAGGATAAGCTGGTGAAGATTGTTGAAGAATGGGTGATGAGGAGACAAGAAGAAGAATACATGTTTATGAGTTGGGAAGTGGAAGAGAAGAGAGAGTTTTATGTGAAGGAAATGAAATGGGGTTGTATCAATGGTGATGAGCAAGAGTATGTCGTTGAAGAGTTGGGGAATGGTTTTGTCACTTCCTTGATTGATGAACTTATTCTTGATTTATCATTGCGAGAATAAGTTTTTTTTGTCACATGTTCGGTACCGTTCACTAGTCTATATGTATTATTAAATTTTTGATATGGTATAGTTATGTTGTTCAAACATATTAATGAGTGGTTAAATGATGTTAGTTACATTCCAGATATTATAATTGAATTATTACCCATATGCGTAGTAGCATCCATAATACTTTGATGTGACGATAAAACAATTGTAGACAACGTCGAATTCCTCTTATTCCAATCATGAAGCCCACAGTTTACCATTAAACCTACTATACTTTACCAACCCTATATTGGCGGCATTACCACAATCTGAGTTCAGTTAATTCTTGGAAAGAAGGAGACAAGTGTAGTTGGACTTGTCTTCGGTTTGGTAATATTCCGGTACACTGTGCATGATGGCCGAATCTGGCCCTACACTAGTTGACCCTACGTTAATGGATTGTTTCTCACCTTGATTCGTTTATTAATTTGTGAATTGTGATCAGTTGCTTCTACAATCAAAAGTCCCGAGCAAAGTCTTCCGGTCGTTATAAACCACACAAATGATAACAGATATCTGTAATATGTACAATTTCAAATATATATATATATATATATATATATATATATATTGAAGATTCATCTGCTTTTACTATGGTTTTAGTTTTAATAGAAAGTTGAATATATGGGTGTTCAAAAAAAAAGTTGAATGTACATTTATCTTTAAAATGCAAATATACATCTAGACGTTTGTTAGTTTTGATAAGTACAAATCTCAAATACTAATTGTGATATATTTTGCTGTTGTTATTAATATATTTAGATTATTTGGCACGTAGCATATATGCTGATCTATATCTTTCAACCGGACCAAACTGGTGACGGGATACTGTCATAATTGGCATACATGAGGTCATGCTATGAAAAAAGAGATGCCACGTGGGTAATGCAAATGTTAAAGAGTTTTATTTGACAAACTTGATTTTTTACAAGTACAGTATATATACGTTTTCACCGGAAGAGAAATAGAGATTAAGTAAACGTAAAAAAGAAGAAGCAGAACGAAAAAAAAACGTGTCACAGAGTGGCGAATCACGCGACGAGTATTAATTTTTTTTTTTTTTTTTTTTTTGACGAGTATTAAGTCTTGACGCGCCTCTTCTTCTTCGTCTTCATGTGTTTCCTCATTCGATTTTAAAAGCTCTCTTCTTTCGTTCCCGATACCATCTCTCTATTTCTCCTCTATTCTGTAACGTTTGTGAGAGACTTTGAGGAGTGAATTAGAGAAGAATTTGGTTTGATTTGGTTTTGTGATTAGTGATACCGTTATGGCTCACTTTACATGCCTTTGATCAATTCCTGAGAAGATTCTTACTTATATTTTCTCGTGTCTCTTTTGACGTTTTAAAAAAAAAATTACTTTTAGAAATCTTTGATTTTTCCTCTTCTAAAGAAGAAGATAAAATGAAGGAGGAACAATCAAGAACTCTGTTTGGAATCTCTCTGTCTGATCGACCAACTTGGCAACAGTTTCTCATTTGCACTTCTGGTTTCTTCTTTGGCTACCTCGTTAACGGAGTTTGCGAGGTTCTTTTTCTCCTTTTTTAAATTAGTTTATTTTCTGTTCTAATTTTGATTTAGAGAATCCCGAAATATAATCGATCTTGACAACCTAGAATCATTTTGTTGACCGCATAATTATTAATGGAAATATCAAATATGTAACGTTCAATTTACTTTGCATTCTTTAAGTGTTTTATGTTTTGGTCTCTTATGGGAAAATAAACAGAGGAAGGAAAAAATTGCATGACGAACTAAACTCTCTCCAAACACACACAAACTTATTGATTTCTATACATTTCATTAAACTAAAATTACAAAATCATCTAATATGAATGTCTTGTGAGATCAGTTATAATATGAATATAATCTTATCATGATCTTGTATAAGAAAAAACAGTATTTGGAGAATTTATTGGATAAATCATTTTGATTATTGACTTGATTTTTATTTTTACAGGAATATGTTTACAATCGTCTCCAATTTAGGTAATCAACTTCATTTCTCTGAACTTTTAGATATTTTTAAAACAAAAACATAACATTGGTGTTTTTGTTCTCTCTCTTTCTTGTAGCTTTGGTTGGTATTTCACGTTTATACAAGGATTTGTCTACTTGTTCCTCATCTACCTTCAAGGTTTCACCACAAAACATATTGTGAATCCAATGAGAACTTATGTCAAACTCTCTGCCGTTCTCATGGGATCACATGGTTTAACCAAAGGATCGTTGGCTTATCTCAACTATCCAGCTCAAATCATGTTCAAATCCACCAAGGTACATTTTCCCAATTCCCAAATTCTTACAAATTCATTTGATATGATATTAGCTAGGTTCAGAGAGTGATCAAAATGAGTGTTTAGGTGTTGCCGGTGATGATCATGGGAGCGTTCATACCCGGTTTGAGAAGAAAATACCCGGTCCATGAATATATTTCAGCCTTCTTGCTAGTTCTTGGTTTGATCCTTTTCACATTAGCAGACGCACAAATGTCTCCTAATTTCAGTATGATTGGGATTTTGATGATCACTGGTGCGTTGATCATGGATGCTTTCTTGGGTAATCTTCAAGAAGCCATTTTCACTATGAATCCCGAGACAACTCAGGCAAGAAAATACACACTAAAAAATACAAAAACCCGGTTCCTTTCGGTTTTCTTGTACCGTTCTATTTTTTAATTAGCGTCTGAGATTCTTGTTAATGTATAAAATGTGCAGATGGAGATGCTTTTCTGCTCAACGGTTGTTGGATTGCCCTTCTTGTTTGTTCCCATGGTCTTAACCGGTGAGCTTTTTCGTGCGTGGACTGCTTGCTCACAGGTAAGTCCAATCCTCTGTTTTAGTTTTGGTAAACCGTAAAGCTTAACCAAACCAAATTAACCCGCTTTAATTTTTTTGGTTTATACACAATCGTTACCATTTGAATCCAAAGTGACAATGAGTGGACTTTGTATTCGGCTATTAGCTAAGAAAGTTCTTGGTTTATGGTTCAAATCGTGTCAGTTTCGGTTTAATGAAAAAGTCAAAGTTTGTCGGATTCATGGTACCGTCGAAATGAAATCATTGACCGAGGACGTGCCTAAACCTGCCTAACTTTTTAAAAGCCAAATTTTCTTTTATAATAATGGAAATCAATGAAACCTAAGTAAAGTACCAACGTGCATTTTTTTTTATACTAACGGTTTAATGATTAGTAGGTACTTGGTGTATTGAAAAAATAACCTCTCCTTTGTTTAATTTCGCAGCATCCGTACGTGTATGGAGTGCTTGTATTCGAAGCCATGGCCACATTCATCGGCCAAGTCTCTGTTCTGTCACTCATTGCACTCTTTGGAGCCGCTACCACCGCCTTGGTATAATCTCTAATCTTGTGTAACAAACCCTTACTTGCGTTACAACGTTGGACATTCGTTCTAATATCATGTTACTGTTTAAAAACGTTTTTGTGTGTTTAGATAACAACCGCGAGGAAAGGGGTTACGTTGTTACTGTCGTATTTGATATTCACAAAGCCACTAACGGAGCAGCACGGATCGGGCTTGCTGTTGATAGTAATGGGAATTGTATTGAAGATGGTACCGATGGATAGTAAACCTCCGAGCAAGATTCAGGCGAGACAAGCGGTTAGGAACGATGGAGGTGAGGGTGATAGAGGAGATGAAGAAGAGAGAAAGTCATTGGTTTAATATTGTGTCACATATCTGCATATACATATATAATATCAGAAGTTCAAAGGGTTTATATAGATAATCTTGGACTAACAAAAAAAAAGCAAATAGAGTAATGAAAGATTGTATTAATTTGCTGGAAATATAATGTTGAACTGTTAAACTGTTAGTCCATTGGCGTCAACGACATTGTAAAGAGGAAGCATAGTTGCAGTTATTAGCAGCAAACACCGGTGAAAGTCACATATGACTGCTATGTACACAAAGTCACTCAAAACTGTGCCAAAGAAAGTCCCCGGCCAGGTGGCCAGAAAATGAATCTGAATCACCTCGTAAGATGTGGCCTAGCTTACACTGGAATCAACAAGAAACTAATGAAGATAAATAACGTCTCATGGTGTAAGTATGCATAAAATAAACGCAACACCAGTCTCGGTTTCACCATTTAGCAGTGCATGCTGATATTGTATACCGTTTTAGTAGCCAATCTTAATAACCAACTCAGGCTACATTGTTGGCAAAAGAACCATTTCACGCGAAAATGAGTTTTGAAAAGCGAAACCGCACCTGAGGAAACAAACACCAAGAGAAAAATATATGATGCCACCAATGAAATCAAATTGCCAGATATGAAGAATTCATACTACTATTCAGTATGTGCTTCGTAACCACTGGGCAGTAACTATAAAGACCCGTTGCTGTATGGATAAAGACAAGAAAGGCAACTGTATTCACATTTTTGTGAAAAGAAAATTCGACATATGTGAATTGAATTCAGAACACTACAGATGTCTATAAGGCAGTGCACATTAATGCCACCCACCACATACCGTCACTTTTTAATATATATGGACAAGAAATTTTGTTTGTTGTCTGTGTGTAGATCACATATGGTTTTTGACACTTCTTGCATGCACATAGGAACTTGATTTTTGGGGTTTTATACGTCATCCTTAGTTAGGAAAAATAAATACTATTTATGCTAGTATCTTTTTTTTTTTCTCGAGAAAGGGCTTTTATGCTAGTATCTTTCAATAAGATATATATGTTTTTGTGAAAAATAAGATATTGACTACATTAGATCTTAATAACATATATTCCCTCTATTTCATTATAAGTATCACTTTACAACTGTTTACACGAATTAATGAAACAATTAATTTTATTTACTATATAAAAAACACAATTATTTATACATCTAACCATATTTTAACCAATAAAAAATAAACTACATAATAAAATTAGTAAATTTTGCATTGAAAACCAAAAACGACACTTATTTTGTAACGCAAAAAAATTTCTACAACGACACTTAAAATGAAACAGAAAGAGTATATGTTTTTTTGTGAAAAATAAGATATTGACTTACATTAGATCTTAACTTTCGAACTTATTAAAAAATTGTAGAATTTCTCACTTCACCCTAACGGCAATAGAATATACTACATAAAATCTTGTATATGTTACATGTAAATCTTGTAATATACTGCTACAGATTGATACTATATCACAGGTGTATCATTATTCTGATAGCTTTAAATATACCTTGCAGTTACATATTTGTATCATTATTTTTGGTTCCAATTAGCATAAAGAAGATATATACATTTAAGAATGCCGACATTAGACAACATTCATGGTCATCAATGAATTATTTATGTTGTTGGCCACTATAATGATATAATTAATTCTTGTACATCGGCAAACTGGACCTGAAAAATATGCAAACATCTTAGAGAGAAGAAACATTTCTAAAAGTTGATTGATTACACGTAAATATATCAACCAAAATTTACGAAAAGAAAATGTGTTCTGAGTTTAGATGTTATATTCGGTTGCTACATGAAAAGGGCACACAAATATAGAGGCTAGTGAATTGACTTTTCGCAGAATGCATAACATCCAATATGAAAAGTATGTTATCTCTTGAATTTTATGTTAAACATTAATGCTGTCCATCATTGGAGGCTACGAACCGATCCTAACAAACCGTAAATGAAGCGAGAGGCTAGACTTCTATACCTATGAACCATGAGTTTATACTAAATCATACGAGAATGTAGATCATACGTTAAAAAGAAGAGGGCAAATTATGTCTCATTAGTTACTACTAATTTTTTTAAAAAAATTATATGCTTAATGCATATTATTTGGAAAAGAAGAAGAAGAAATAAAAACAAGGCATGCAAAGAAGACACAAAAATATAGTCTTGTAAATTATTAGACTTTTACGACAAAATTTAGCATAGCACACGCAGTTTCAATAGATATCTGCTGAGAAAAAATAATTATGCAAATTGCCAAAACAAGGGAAATTCATGTTACCAAGATAAATCATTATCCCACTAACTGAAAAATGAAAAGTTGAAAATGAAATCTGAGGGTAAGACAAGTGAAGATGGAGCCCACACTGGCTTCAACGCTGATCGCTTCTTCTTACCTTTTCATTTGCTATAAAAATTGTTCAACATGGCTTCACACAGAGCCACTCTCTGTATTTTCCTTTTTTGGTTTATTCTCACCTTTTTAATTCGTTTCTGTTTTGTTTCTTTACTCACCGAATACCAATTCGGTCCTCAGCAAATAGGTTTTTGCTGCCTTCTCTCTCTCTCTCTTTCTCTCAGACTTCTCGTGTTGTTTCAACTTTCGAGGCTCTGTTTCCTCTGTTTCACAAATTACAAAGGTTATTTCCTCTGCTCTTTGTTGATTACGAGGGTGATCTTTTCACTCATTTCTTGTCCCTTTCAGTGTGTGTAAGTGTAACCTCATAGCTTAATATATAGAAAGAAGAGAGACTTATTATCCTTGCAATACTTCTTACAACAACTTTTGTTTATCTGATCATTCTTTAAACTCTGAACGCTTCTTTGGTATGTAGAAGATGGTCGCCTTTGGGAAAAAGCTAAAGGAACGCAGCATTCAAGGATGGCAAGGGTAACTGTTTTCTTTATATACATATACTTTTAGAAAGTTTTATGAGAGTTTGTCCTAATGTAGTAACTCACGATCCCTTTGTAGATATTACATCAACTACAAACTGATGAAGAAGAAAGTGAATCAATACCGTCGCCAGTTACAAGGAGGAAACCTAGAGCGCCGCCAAGTTCTTAAAGATTTCTCAAAGATGCTTGATAACCAGGTCCTTCATTTACTTCCCTCCTTCACCACAGTTTTTTAAATCATTTCAAGACAAAAAAAAGTTTTGAAAATCTAAATGTTATACTTAGATCGAGAAAGTAGCACTCTTCATGTTGGAGCAACAAGGAATACTTGCAAGTAGGCTACAGAGACTTAGAGAGTCACACGATGCACTTCAAGAGGAGCCTGAGATATCTCAAGTAGTAAATCTAAAGGAAGGTTACAGAGCTGTTGGACAAGATCTTCTCAAGCTACTCTTCTTCGTTGAGATGAATGCTATTGGTGTTCGTAAGATACTCAAGAAGTTTGATAAACGGTTTGGTTACAGATTCACAAACTATTATGTCAAGACTCGTGCTAACCATCCTTACTCTGAACTTCAGCAAGTCTATAAACATGTTGTAAGTACCAAATTGTAGTAAAACTATCTATTTCTTGGTTTCCAAGCTTAACGTTGATCATTTTATAGGGTCTTGGAGCTGTTGTTGGAGCTCTATCTCGCAACCTTCACGAGCTTCAAAACAATCAAGGAAGCTACTTATCTATCTATGACCAGCCTGTTCTCCCACTTCAGGATCCTGTTGTTGACTCCATTAGAGCAGCAGTGGATAGGCTAACACATTCAACGAACTTCTTGAACTTCATGGCTCAGCACGCGTTTATCATGCAAGCAGAGTTGCCAAGTCCACAAGACGAGGAAGAAGCGGTTGAAGAAGAAGGCAGGCGATATCACTTCATGTCTCTCTTGTTGAACCTTGTCAACACGTTTCTATATATGGTTAATACATATATCATTGTACCAACAGCAGATGACTATTCAATGAGCCTTGGTGCAGCAGCTACGGTGTGTGGGGTTGTGATTGGTGCTATGGCTGTTGCTCAGCTCTTCGCTTCGGTTTACTTCAGCGCATGGTCTAATAAATCTTACTTCAAACCGCTTATATTCAGTAGCATTGTCCTCTTCGTTGGTAACTTGTTGTATGCATTGGCTTTTGACTTTAACTCAATAGCTGTTCTATTGATCGGCAGACTTTTCTGTGGGTAAGTCCTTTCCTTACAGTTTTTCCCTAAACCCTAAACCCTAAATCATAAACCTTATTGTATTTGTATGTATCAGGTTGGGGTCAGCAAGAGCAGTGAACAGGAGGTATATAAGTGACTGTGTACCGTTAAAGATAAGAATGCAGGCTTCAGCTGGTTTTGTAAGTGCAAGTGCTCTAGGAATGGCGTGTGGTCCTGCGCTTGCTGGTCTATTGCAGATCAGATTCAAGATCTATAAGCTTACTTTTGACCAAAATACATTGCCTGGTTGGGTTATGGCCATTGCTTGGCTTTTGTACTTAGTCTGGTTAGCTATTTCGTTCCGAGAGCCAGCACTTGAGCCTGAGGAGAGTCATAATACTTCAAAGGATTCTAATAACTCTGGTAATGTCTATGTCCTAACTAAAATCTCTCTCGTTGGTAAACCAATAGAAGTTGATATCTGATTTGGTTGTGAGTGATAGAAGCTGTTCAAGATGGGAGTCTGGAGTCAGGCATTAAACAGCCATTTCTGATTACATCAGAAGAGATAGAAGAACAGGTTGAGGATGAAGATGAAGATGAAGATGGAAGTGAAGAAGTTTCTGAGGAATCTCGTGCACCTGTGAACTCCATTGGAGCTGCTTATAGGCTGCTTACACCTTCAGTAAAGGTAAAAATGAAACCCAAAATTGAAAATGTAAATGTGAAATAGTACTGAATGATGAAATTGATTGTTCAGGTTCAACTATTGATATACTTTATGCTTAAGTATGCAATGGAGATTCTTCTCTCTGAATCTAGTGTTGTCACCACTTACTACTTCGGTTGGTCCACTAGCTCGGTTGCTATCTTCTTGGCTTGTCTTGGTCTCACGGTTCTACCTGTAAACATTGTCATTGGAAGCTATATCAGCAACATGTTCGAAGACCGGTAAGTAATTTCTGAAAATTAATATTCTGTTTTACTGATTTCTTGTGCTACAAGTTACCCTAAAGTCATAATCTTAAACAGGCAAATTCTGTTGGTGTCTGAGATTATGGTTTGTGTCGGAATACTATTCAGCTTCAATGTCCTAGTTCCATACACTGTGCCACAGTACGTTTGCTCCGGACTCATCATGTTTGTCTCTGCAGAAGTTCTTGAAGGTAAAAAAAAATGATAATACTCTTATGTAACCCCTCAAGATTGTGAAAATTATCTTGATTTTGGCAGGTGTTAACTTGTCATTGCTCTCGAGGGTTATGTCGTCGAGGCTATCGAGAGGGACTTATAACGGTGGTTTGCTTTCAACGGAGGCAGGCACGATCGCTCGTGTGATTGCTGACGTGACTATTACCGTGGCCGGTTACTTTGGACGGGATATGCTTTTGAATGTCACTTTGCTTCCGTCTTTGGTCACTTGTGTTGTGTCCATCGTAGCTACTTGTTTTACTTATAACTCTTTGTACTAGTATTCTCTTTTTACAAATTTGTCTGTATGCATTTTAGCTATCATATTCAGGCAATGAAGCATGACACAGAGCCAAAAGGTTATGAAATAAATATACCTTTGACTTGAACATTAGTGATTTATCACACATCACGTGACACGACGTTATTGCGTTATGGACATTGGAACTCCTCGACCAAAATTATTGGGAGGTCCTTATTCTTAGTACTTAAAATATATATATATATATATATTATATATGCGTATATAATTACAAGTTAAAGACTTTACGGAAACTGAAACCAAAAGTTTCTTAAATAAGAGATTTTTGATTTCGATTCCGTAAAGTCCTTAACCTACAACTATATACACGTATATAATATATACATACACATATATATATTTTTGAAGGACCAAAAGCAAGAACTTCCCAATAATGTTGCTTTTACGTCGTTGTATTGGCTATACTTAAAATTTATATTTTGATACTTTTTTTTCTTTTCTTTTTTTAAGCAACTTTGATACTCTTTTTATAATCAACTTTTTTTTTGGTCAAGGACTCTTTTTAAATATAAGTTTCTTTCAGAATGAAAAACGGATTTTCAGAAAGTTCTTCGTTTGGCACTGTTTTATGAATAACGTTCTTGAATATTAACTAACATTTTTCTTTTGATCGAAACATTTTCTTGTTGTTTTCTGTTTGTTTCCTTGTGTTCATAGTGGATGCCACACGGATTATAATAGCGCCAGAAATATAAAAATCATTATAAACTTGTGTTTTGGTTTAGTTGAAAATTGAAGTCAGTCGCCACTACCAATTGTTCCTTGTTTCTTTTTTTTTCACATCTATTAAACAGAAACAATTAATAATACAGGTTACTGTACCACCCAACATCCCATGCTAGAGGAGTCAGGAGTGGATGATATATATATGGACACGTAAAATATGTAAAAACACACACACATGCGTACTTTAGATGTTTTGATTGTGATAAGTAATTAAGTATCATAAAGACATTATTGATTATTAAAGCGTAATGTTGTACTGTCCGCCATTCAGGTTTGAGCCTTGGTCACAACGGATTTAACATCTCTTCCGTTGGGGCGCTGGACCCGTTTCGAAAGATAATTGGGAATGTGGCTACCCAGATACTAGAATTATCAAAAAAAAAAAAAAAAAGCGTAATGTAAACACGAGAGATTGACCAAGTCCAAACCGCGTCTCCCTCAAGGTTCTACTTTCTCACGTGCATGAAAACGCCATCTACTTTCTCTCTTTCACCCTAAGTGTTTTGTCTTCAAAAACTGTTTACTGGAACAAGGAGTAAACCGGTACCATCTACGAGCTGATTTGTCAATATAATTGTGTTGCCGACGGTTATGCTTTCTTGATTATTACTAAGCCAGTTGAACCTAGGTTCGTCCAGTCCTAACCGAACCCAAACCATCTAGTTTTAAACAACAAAACAAAAACTAGCTTAGACAAGAAGGAGGAAGAGTTTAGAACAATAAATCTTTTTCTTTTCAGTGGACCACGCATCCCATTTCCGGTTATAATTTAAGTGGTTATTAGTCATAAACATCCGGCTATCATCTTAATTCAAAAAACGACACCAATCTCTTGATTGATTGTTTTTAATCTACGGTTCTTGTTTGTATTTTCCTTTCTTTTGGAGCTACACTAACATATTTTACTATTATGACCTTATAATATAAAGCTATACAGAAGTCCACTAAGTTCAACCACAAAAACGTGGCCATAATGTGTACCTAGCAGCCTATCCTAGTCTTTTTATACATTAAAATTTCTATTATAATCTTAAGATTGACTATTAGTATAAATAATTATCAACGAGATCGAAGTCTAAGTTTTGTTCACAGAATCAAATGTTAGGTATGAGTTCCCTTTTTTCCAAATAACAGCAACTTTTCCTTTTTTATTGACCATGTGATCTAGATTACGACATTCTAATTTTTATTAAAAGACCTTTAATCTCTCATTGACTTCAACAAGTCGCGCGCACACCTCTTTTCTCCAGACAAAAAGAGCAGAAGGAACAGGAGATCCTAGAGAGATGAGTTCACACTTCATACAAGAAGCTTGCTTCAATGTCTGCTGCTCATCACCATTCTCATCTCACTCCATGACTCAGAAACAAGAGGAAGAAGAGCTCGAGTTCTCAGTAGTCACACCAGGAGCCTCGTTTATAACAAAAGACATCAAATTCACTAGCCAAGAATCTCTCCCTCCTCTCCGTACATCTTTCTACGATCTCATCACGGCTTTTCCTGATTACTTGCAGACGAATCAAGCCGATCATCTCCGATCTACAGAGTATCAAAACCTCTCGTGCTCCTCTCGCCACGTGTTGTTAACACACACCGGCCAGCTACAGCCCTTGTTCTCTTACTCACAGTTCCGACAGCTCTCCCGTTTGAATCAATCTCTCTTTACCTTGTCTTCCAAGCAAGTATGCTCCTATAAAGAAATGTTATCACTCGCGAGCGAAGAATCTTGGTTTCAGACGAGGTTAAGGAAAAGAATAATGAGTTTTATGAATCTTGAAGAATCTGAATATCACATGATTCTAACACAAGACTGCTCCTCTGCTTTCAAGATTCTAGCGGAACTCTACTCTTTCAAAACAAACCCTAATCTTCTCACAGTCTACAACTACCAAGACGAAGCAGTGGAAGAGATGATCAGAATCTCGGAGAAGAAGGGTGTAAAGCCCAAATCAGCAGAGTTCTCGTGGCCGAGCACTGAGATTGTCTCTGAGAAACTGAAGAGGACAATCTTGAGGAGTAAGAGAGGAAGGGGAAAAGAAGATAAAAGAGGAATATTTGTGTTTCCACTTCAGTCTCTTGTCACAGGAGCTACGTATTCTTACTCGTGGATGAGTTTAGCTCAAGAAAACCAATGGCATGTGTTGCTTGACACCTCTGCTTTAGGCTCTAAAGACATGGATACTTTAGGTCTTTCTCTGTTCCGACCAGATTTTCTTATATGTTCTTTTACAGAGGTTTTAGGGCAAGATGGTCTTACTAGTTTCGGTTGCTTGTTCGTCAAGAAATCTAGCTCAAAAGCTTTATCAGAAGAAACAGTCACGAATCCGACGAATCTCACGGTTGTAAAAGCAGAGCCGTCTTGGATAACAGAAAATGACGAAACTACCCTTGAAATCGTAGAAGAGGATAATGTAACTATTGAGTTTCGAGGTTTAGACCACGCAGACTCTCTAGGACTGATACTAATCAGTCGAAGGTTAAAGTCTTTGACTCTATGGCTGGTTCGAGCGTTGATGAGTCTTAAACATCCGAACTCTCATCAAACAGAGACTCCTCTGGTCAAAATCTGCGGACCGAAGACGAGACCGGAGAGAGGATCGTCTGTTTCGTTTAACGTTTTTGATTGGCAAGGAGATAAAGTCGATCCTTTGATGGTGGAGAGGCTTGCGGAGAGGGAGAAGATCAGTTTGCGATGTGCTTACTTGCAGAAGATTAGTAGAGTGGGAGACAAGAAAAGAAGAGATGAAGAGAGAGATGGACAGAATATGAGTTTGAGAGTGTCAGTGGTGTGTGTTAGGTTAGGGTTTATGACGAACTTTGATGATGTTTTTAGGGTTTGGGGGTTTGTGTCGAGGTTTCTAGATGTGGATTTTGTGGAGAGAGAGAAGTGGAGAATGAAAGCTCTTGAGAAAAAACAAATGAGAGGTGTAATAATTTGAAAGCCTTTTTGATCTATTGGGTTGGTTCGGTTAAATAAAATTGTGGTTCGATTTGACAATTCAATTTTCTTTCCTTTGTTTTATTTTGGCACATATTTTAACCCACTGTTTTCTAGTGAATATTAAATCTATTCTGTCAAAAACATGTATTTTTTGTGACTTTCAAATAAAATATTTATAACAACACATAACTGAAAGAAAAACCAACAGAATTTTTGTTAAAGTAAAAAAAAATTATGTTCCTAACTCAAAAAAATGAATTTAATTGATGAAAAAATGAATTTAATTTCTGTTTCCAAACCAAGAATTGTAATTTTGTTTTTCATACCAGCAGTCTCTCTAATTGAAATCAGCCTATATTCATTTTTTATTTGTCAATAACTATGATAAGTCTTGCAGTTGCAGCCGTTGGTTTTTAGAACATCTCCAAAGGTAATTTTTAAGATATGATAAATTTTAAAACTTGACATATGAAGGTGTTCTTCTCCAATGATAAAACTTTAATCCAAATTTAAAAGAATCTTTATCTGCATTATAAACCTTAAGATTGACCAAAATAATAAATATATATTTTAAAAATTATTACAAACATTATTAACATTAATTATAATAAATGATAATTTAAAAATAAAAATTAAATCATAAATTATAAATAAAATATCAAATTACTCAATATAAATATTTTTATAATTTTCTAATAGAAGATCAATTAATGAATTTTAAAATAATATATTAACTTATTTATTAAATATATGAATGTTATGAGAATGAAAAAGAAGTATGTTATGAGTTTAAATCTATCAAATTTGACATTTATATATAAATCATTATGAAGTATAACATTATAAGGATTTAAAAAAGTAACTAAATCATCCAATAATTTTTAATATATAAATTTAATTTTACATTAGATTTCATGTGCGGTTCATAAGCACTAGTCCACATATAATATTAGCAAATTTTAAGTAGATTTATGGTCATTTTTAATTAAAAACAAAAGTTTTTTTAATTTATTTTTATAATACTTACATATTATAACAAACTCAGTTCCAAAATAATCCATGGGTTGAAAAGATATTTTCAAAAGTATACCTTTTTCATTTTAATAATTCTTATTAGTTAATAATAGTTAATTATAAACTTCGTAACAAATTGAAAGTGTTGCAGATAATATACTATTTACTATTTTTGAATGAATGTTAAATTTATTTCTTCAAAACATTTATTACATCCGGTGTAAAAAAGAATTGAAAGAAAAATAAAATAATGAGTTAATTAAAAAATTGCAAACTTTGTAAAAAGTAATTGTTTTATCAAATTTTGATTGGCTAAAAATTGTATACTTGATCACAAAATAATACATTTATAACTCAAAATTTAATAAATTTTCTTAATATGTGTGCAAACTTTAAAACCTAAATCATTTTAAAATGAAGGAAGTATCAAAAAGCCTCTTAATTCAAGAATGGTGAACAAAATGTTTTGTACAAGTTTAATTATATTTGTAAGAGTTTTGACTTAGTAACACATTATTACTTTAGACTTTTTCTTTGTCCCTCCATTTTTGTCGCCATAAACATGAAAACTCTTTTCTCTTCTATCCATTGAGCCAATTGATTAAAATTTTTTTAAGTTCCTATATAAGTATGCCAGTATTAACACTTCATTATAAAAATCACCATTTTCTCAAAAAGGACCAATAACAATGAAATTTTCATATTCACTATCCAAACGATTTTTTCCACTTATTTTGGCCCTAAGATTCTTCATCAGACATAGTGTTTCATCATTGAACCTTACCAATGAGTATCTCAACCACAAATGCCTCCTTAATCAAGGAAAATATAACTCGGGAAGCCCGTACGAGGAAGGTCTCAACTGGATCTACCGTCACATTCATAATATTTCTTATGATCTATCGGGTTTCTCACACACAAGTGTTGAAAAAACGACAGGCGATTTTGTTTGCGTCACTATCCAATGTCGTGGTGACTCTTATGGATCTAAATGCCATACATGCATTGACACTGCAATTGCTGGGGTAAATGAGCTGTCATATATTTAAATATGAAGATTACATTTTTTGCAGTGAAATAAAGTCTTATCTTTGAGCTAAAACAGAAATGTCTACATGAAACAAATATCAAATTAGAATAATTTGAAAAAGTATAAGGTGACAAAGTTTGATATCTATTAAAGATAAGGATGAGACAATTATCAAATATCTGGGATTCAATGTGAAATTCACTCCAGCTCCACTCTAAATATCCATATTTCTGAAAGGCATAATTTGTATAATTGAATCTCAGATCAATAAATACCAGATCCAGATATGGATATCTTGATTTTAATGTCTGGATATCCAGATTTAATAAGTGTAATTAAAATATATGTTATTAATAACTTTTTAAAATAACATAAATTCTATAGATAACATTTATTTTAAATTATTTACTTTTATTTTTAAATTATTATATTTTATTCTGGCATATTTGGCTTTATTTTATATAATGCTATAAAATTTTAGTTTAGTATTATTATAAATGTTTTATCTTTAGTTTTGTTGATATGTGTCCATATATATATATATATATATATATATATATCCACTGCTAAGTTAATATTTAGACTGATATCTATTATCTAGATATCACAAATTATCGATCCAGATATAGATAGTCAAACATGGTTTTGACGAGTCTTGATATTCAGAAATTTCTGATATTCAAATTCATCTTTACCCTAGTTTTATAAATATCAAAATTTATCATAAATTATGTAAAAATCAAATTATATTGAAGATATTTTTATTAAATGCGACTACGTTACTACATGTTGCAAATTATTTATACAAGTTTAGTTTCTTTAAATCCTTATTTTTGACATTCTTGAATAATCATTTCCTATACAAATAGTTAGGGGACGAACGCTTTCACTGAAATACTAAATCATCATTTTAAAAAAATATAAAATTGTATATTGCAGTTTCGTAAGAGATGTCCGAGTAACAAAGGAGGAATAATATGGTACGATCAATGTCTTCTCTATATTACTGCGATCAAAGAAGATGATCCAAAGACAAATTACAAAAATATTTTTTCTATGCACAACCCAAATAACGTGAGAGGGGATGCAAAACTGTTCGTCAAGAGGGTAACTGATTTTTTATCTGAGCTTACACTTAAAGTCAAGAAAACTACCAAGTATAGTATCGTATTTTACGCGGCGGGGGAAAAGAAACTTAGGAAAAATAAATTATATGCAATGGTGGAGTGTTTAGAACTAACATCCGACTGTAAAAGTTGTTTGGCATGGAGTATCACAAAGCTTTTCGAGAATGATAACATTAAACAAGGAGGGAGAGTTTTAGGTACGGATTGTAATGTAAGGTATGAGCTATACCCTTTTCTTAGGAGTTAAGCATTTTTAAGTTATATTTTCGTTATGTTTACATTTTTACTGAAATGTAATATCAATAAAAATAGTTCTTACAAAATAGATCCAAAAAATTATTTAGAATATTAATTAACAATGATTTTCACTGACTTGGAATTCTTGAGCCTATGACCCAACTGGCTGCTGAAAAAAAAACCCAACTGACTTGTTTTTATCCTCAGTATCTGAAAGCTTTGCTTTAATGATTTAATTCAATTGTTGATATGACTATGAATGATGTTTCGTAACTAGCTTGCAGAGTGATGAGGCTTCTTGTTCTTACTGCCATTACGTTCTTTCAAGATCAAATATTTGGTTGATTGAAAAGTGAGATTAACTAGCACCAAGTCATGCTCTTTTAACCTCTTACTTTTATTGCACACTACATTATCTACCTATTCACGTTTATCTTCTCTCAACAGCTCTAAACATAACATATCTTATATAAGTAGATGTCTAACTTCTATACAATAGGTACTAGAAATAGAATGAAAGGGATGATCCAAAGTGGACTGTCCTTCCCATTCATTAGATAGAGAAAATCGTCAAAATCTTATGTGAATTTAATTCTGTTGAAAAATTTGAACCAGTTGAAAATTAAAATATGTGTCTACTGTCATTATCTAAAGCAATTTGATCATAGTTGATGACATGTGTTTCATTGATATTAAGCATCAAAATTTACATTTTAAATAATAAAAAGATAATATGTGTGTTGTTGTATTGGAAATTATGACATTTTTTCATTGTAATTATTTAGAAGTCAAATTTCTTTGATAATTTCTTTGATATATATATATATATATATATTAAAATGAATCATTTTATATTCTGAAACTAGAGACTTATTTCATTTGGTTTAAAAATAAAACAAAAAATATTTTATTTTTTGTATTATTAATATTTTTATAAAAAAAATATTTGTTTTCTGATAATCTTTTATTTTATGTAAAATTTTTGTTGTTTTGGTTACATTTCAATCGATAATTGTAAGTAATATGTAATTAGAAAATTATTAGAGAATATAAGATAAAATTAGTGGTGTATAATTTTAAATTTGATTAAATAATTTTTTATAAGATATGAACATAAAATAAATGTTGATTTATTAGGGAGAAATTTTTTTTTAATTTTCCAAGACTAATTGATAAATATAAAATTTAACATTTTTATTATTCTTTTTTTTCGCGAAAGGGCTTAATATTTTTATTTGAAGAATTTATAACTGTAAAGACTAAATAACCAGAACCATGCTCGACCACAGAAAAAAGGCGACCGCCTCATGTCTCCCATTTTTTCATCAATACTTGGGGCCCATATTATGCAAAATACAGTAGTGGTTTACGAAGTACTAGGTGTTTTGCCCGAACATGCGGGCCTAATTTTCGTACAATTTATTATTAGTTTATATTTTATTAATACAAATCAATATAATAAGTTATGATTTATGTTTTTAAATTAATTATAAATGACAACACTCACATAACACAATATTTTTAAAAAATATATTTTTACAAATGTGTTGCTTTAATTTATTTTAATTATAATGTTTTCTATCTTAATTT